ACTTTTTATTTAGTTGCACGGCAAATTTTTCATTGTTTGAACAAGATTTGTCAACAGTTTTTTATCACTGAAAAAAATACTAAGGTATTCATGGCAGAAATAAATGGAAAGAGACACTAACAGGTATGGGTAGATGGGCACTATTTAGGTAAATTACAGTACTTTTATTTTTTAATAAAGTCCATTAGCTATGTATAGTAATCCTAATATGTTTACACATTGATCAGGATGTTGATAAGAAAATGCTTGTTATTTTTATCATTTGATAAGATTCAGACTGCATCTTTTATATTCCAAAACGTTCTATATTTCTTATCAAAGGAATGAATCTAAACTAATATTGCTGCATTTGATAAAAATATCATTCATGTCTACAGACTTTTGTTACTGGATTTAAAAACAATTTCGATTTAAAAAAAATATTATAATCAAGTACAGTATTAATCCCATACTTAGTTTTGTTTTACCTACAGCAAAATTGTAAAATATCTAATACTTTTTTTTACATATTTACTTCAAATATATCAATTTAAATATAAAGAAATTTCTTCATTCCTTTTTTGTTTTACAACAAATTACTGCAAAATGATTATTGCATACATGGCATTTAACAGAAATACCAGCTGAATAAAAGTTTCCAGACATCTTATTTGTATATATTTATACACCTACTTAGGCACACCTGGAAACTTGTCAGACATTTCATCTAAATTTTAAGACTGGTTAATTCATTGGTGTTTTGGAGTGTTTTAATGATGAGACAGGAACTTTTTGGATTTTTGGAAATCATTCTGGACTCTAGGGGAAAATTAGGTCACAATTTCTTATGTTTTAGTACAGTGTACCAATTTTGAAAAAAAAATGAATTAGCTAAAAACTTTGTCTAAAACCATAGCTAATTGGCTGGATGGACTGCAATTAGGTCCAACTACTTGTATAAGACAGAAAAAAAGTTAATGATTCAATTTCTATTATTAAATGGAAAATTTTGACCATGAAAGTACTGTTATATTTATAACGTGTAAAGTATTTGACCTAATAATGTAAGTGCCCCATTTGTTATGAGTGCCCCCTATATATATATATTTATTTTCTGGCCCGAGTGTCAAAAATCTCCACCATAGTTAATCAATTTAATAGGGAACAAGCGGCCCAGAGGGCCTGTATCGCTCACCTGAATATGTTTAAAATAATTGGTATGAAGTAAAGATATAGCACTCCATGGTAGGTGCTGTAAGTACATATGAAATTTCAGAAAGATCCATCCAGTACTTGAGATATAACAAATTTCAAACAGAGCCCCACCCCTATGCCCCTAGGGGGGTCATACCCACCGTTTATACAAAATTGAGTTCCCTTGGCCAAAGGATGCTCCAGACTAAATAAGGATAAAATCCCTTAATCACGATGGTCGAAGAAGGATTTTAAAGATTTTACCTCTATTTCTCCTATTGGACCCCGCCCTTCTGCCCCCTGGGAGACCACACCCACTGCTTATACAAAATTGAGTCCCCTTGGCCCAAGGATGCTCCAGACTAAATTAGGATAAAATCCCTGAATCCTTACGGTAGGAGCAGGATTTTGAAGGTTTTACCTATTTCCCCTATTCGGCTCCGCCCATCTGCCCCAGGGGGGCCACACCCACCATTTAAATAAAATTGAGTCCCCTTGGCCTAAGGATGCTCCAGACCAAGTTTAGTCAAAATCTACTTGGCCGTTCACGACTGCGGTATGGCATACATGTAAGCTCACCATGGTCCTTTGGACCAGGTGAGCTTAAAAAAGTGTCTGTTATTGTTCTTTTTTTAAAGCTGGAAGGATCTGCAATCCTGATTTTCCCAAGTTGCTTAATGCCGAGGGCACTTATTAAGTGAAGTAAGGTACAATGTTTAGGGCCTGTGTGATCAACAAGACACGAATGTGTATGCTACTTTACCTGTAGTGATAAACACTCCCAACCTGAAACAACAGTCTCATCAGAGTTTGGGAACCAAGTTTATATCTTTATTATATGACCATTTGACACACCTGGTCTTAAAGTTTCATTCAAATACAGAACATTTACAATCAGTTATATCAGTCTAGTTATTGGCATATTGACAAATGATTTATATTTGTCTACTATTGAAAACTTATCATATCAATACATTATATGTTGACACTTAGTCTGGCTTCTTATAAGTTTGGAACAGGGTCACATATGTAGGTAACTTAAAACATGTTATTTTGTATCTTTAAGAAGATGATTAGTGCCTGAAAATTATTAACCAGAAAAAATCTAAAAAAAATCGTAAAATCTTTGGGAAAAAATTAAAAAGGAACACATTTTTACAATTACTGTTGACCCTTACTATGGCCAGATAAAGCATCTGTTTCCTAGAAGTTATAGTCCCCTATATTTCTTATACTGAATTAAATACAAAATACATGTACCTTCTAAGCTGCTTTATATTAGATTGATGAGGATCAGAATTTACATTACATTTGGAAATGCTATAATAATATACAAAATTTGATATACTGCCCTATCTAGCTAGGTTAAGCCACTCTAAAGCACTTTACAGTAGATAGATATTAGCAGAATTCGGAGGAGCTGCATTATCAGGTGCTAACATCTAGTCTTATGCCACTTGGCTAATATCTCCCTATGTGTGTATGCCTGCGTGTGTGCTGGAGATGTATTGTGTTCTGTTTGTAGTGGGACCATATGCTTCCAACAGCATCATTTATAGTGCCACCTCACTTGAATGCTCCACCTCATATACCGCAACACGATGCATCCACCCCAGACCATTTTATACTCCACTTGAGTTGTTGGAGTTGTGTCGGCAGGAGAAAAATACTTTCTCTGAATATTCCATGTGTACGACGACTTCTGGGATTGAGTCACTGTCGCCTGCGTGGAAGGTCAGAGTGTTAACCACTCGACCAATCCGGTATATTCCGGACAAACTGCCGGATGGGCCCTGTTTGTACAGTTGTGGGACCGCACAACGCACCAAAAATGGCGTGCGCACACCGTGCATACATCGTTCACACACCGTCCGCACATCGTCCACACATGGTGCGCACAACTGTGCGATTTAGCAATCGTTCGCCCCGTTGTGCGCTTCTCTCCGCACAACTGTGCGATTTGGTATCGTTTGTAGATCAAAATTACGGAATGACAAAAATACGGAAGGCTTGTATGCGATAATGTACACTGTGTATATATCTGTAATTTCTCATCCCAATAATCAAGATTATACAATTTCACAATGCGTATTACACAGTATTACAGTGACCGTTAGGCTGTCAAGAAAGGGTTTGGCTCCAAGGTAACAGAACAGGTAAATAACAATTTTATGAGTGTCCGGAGTTTTACCTGACCAGTGCCTGACACACAGAGCTGATATGCGATACCGTTTGACCGTAATAAAAAGGATTTGTTATTTGCATTCGTTTACCTATATATAGCTCCCCTTCACCTGGATTTTCACACCCCCGGCCTTACCCGACGAGTTACGTAAATGCCCCAGGCGGGGAGAAAACTACGGTCCAGGTACATGTACACAATGGTTATGTTTACCTGTATACGGGGTTGTGTTGTAATTTTACATGTGTCGATTAAGTTTGTTTAAAAACACAGAAAACACAATTCCTAAATATAAGAATTTATAGACAGAAAGATAAGTTTATAGATGTTGCTAGAATATAGAAACATACGTAAACATCAAGTTTATATGTTTAACAAGAAACCGTATAAATTGTTAAGGCATTCCTCAATTTACACCAACCACGATTGTTATCGCACAACGTCCGTCCATCGTGCGCACATATGTGCGCAAGCAATGATCGTTCAGCTTTTTATCGTTCGCCCATCGTGCACACACCGTTCACACACCGTGCACACATCGTGCGCACACCGCACATCGTGTAACGTTGTGCGATCCCACAACTGTATATCCCCCGCCAACTTCATTGGGCGCGGGGCCGGGATAATAATGTAGATACATCCTTGTTAATTCATTTGATTGGGGTTTTACATGTTAAATTGTGTTTGTAAAAACTCATAAGAACACACTCTATAACCTGGACACTAAAGTGAGTAGATAAAGTAGAATGATGGCCCACCCAGTCACATTGTTCTGACAACACGCTTACCAAAGGTTATTGATTACTCAGACCTGTTCCTTTCAAATAAAAGATATCCATTGACAATGGTAAAGTGACACAGTATATTGTTAGTTGGACCCTGGCCAGCATTGTGCTGCCTGTGACATTTATGAATCATATGGCTTTTTATAAAATGTCCATCAATAATATTTTAATCCGACTAAATAGTCTGACATCTGCACCCGACAGTTAATAACATTATATTTGTATGCACGGTGAGCGACATAGATGTCTAACAGTCATTCTGAAAGCAAACACAGTTCAGTTGTCACTACAAAAGCCACTCACTGACCCAATTGGTACCAGGAAATCGGACTGCAGATTAAATGCCGTTCCGTTGTATAACCAAATCAAGTCATGCTTTGGTTAACCGGTGGAGGAGGGAGGTTAGGTAACACACACGTGTGGGTTTTCCCGTTGCCTGGAGATGCGACACAAATACATAGGTTTCACTCTATATTTAGCAGGTCCAGTGCACTCTGCCGATTGAGCTGTATAGCTGTACAGACCCATAATAGAGCTATTGACCTCAAATCTGAAATACGTCTTTTGAGCTATTTTCATGTGATTTTCTCTTTTAAGGAAAACGAAACAAAGTCGCCTTTAAAAGAAGATTTTATCGTAAAGGTCTTTATAGTTATATATAGCGCAATCGGTAAAGGTCTTTATAGCTATATATAGCTCAATCGGCAGAGTGTACTGGACCAGTTTCAGAGTTTAGGCTTAACATGTTAATCCAAAACACGACCGTCAAATCATGCAAAGTTTTCTGTTGTATATGCATGTATTATGAACTTGGCTGCACTTCATAAACAAAATTACAGTTAAAAATAAATATCTCTTACCTCGCTGTCTTCATTCCGCTGTGTTGGAACCAAGTAGTGACATAGCTGTGTAAAAAGCTGTCCGAACAAGTTTATCTGAAAGAGTCCATGGTGTTTTACGTCAGTTCAACATCCGGGAAGATAACTCTTTATCATTTGACAAAGTCACAGGGGCAAGAATATTTTTAACGAAATATTATAATCTTTTTGACTAACTATTATCAGAGTTTCGATTACACCTATTCGTTTGGATTACTAAGAGCATAAATATTTTCTTGTTTTTGAGATAAAATATGCGAAAATCTAAGTTAGAAATCTAGTGACCCCGGTCTGTTTATCGTTTGTAAGACTAAATTATTTCTTTTAAAATTTCTATTTTTTATTTTGCATAAACTGTGATTGCATATGTACTCCTGTATATTTGTAGCATATCTAAATTGAATTGTTGTCTTGTTTATATATATGTATATATATCCATAAGTACTGTGATCCTTGTTAAATTTTATATATGCTCGTCGCAAGAAGAGCACTACAGTGCTAATGTTATTCTGAGGCACAGGGACCTGAGAACTTGTTTAAGCATTGAACTGCTTTCAGTTGGCATTCATAGGCAATATGAATGCCAACTAGACAAATGCAAATTCAATGAAGCGCTTCATGTTGGATTTGCCTTTTTTCCCAGTTGGAATTCATTTTGTCTATGAAAGCCAACTGAAAGCAGTTCAATACTTATATTTACCATTTTTGGAATATGTTCATCTCATAGAAAATTCAATTACATTTACTATTATTTAACATTTAGTTTAAATAATGAATGTATCGTGTATGTTTGTTCAATGAATAGAACAGCCATCGCCCAGGAAGGGTTAGTGGTATCCAACGAAACAATTATGACGTCACACTAATGATGACGTCAACAATCGGTCTATGGCATTCATAGCCGATATGAATGCCAACTGAATTATGTAGGGTTATATAGTGGCAATGCCATACGATGGTAAATATACAGCTATACATGGAACTAAACTTGGGTGTTCAGAGTTATTTTACATGTTTTAAGGGTTAAGATCGACTTTCGGTATATATATAGGAGAATGGAGAAAAGCTCTCGATGTCGAAATGTCGACCCTGCTTAACTTTCTTGCATCAAAAACAACATTTCTATTTGATCTACGGGAAAATGCTTAGTATCGTTGGAAAGATGAATAATTTTTCTTTTAAAAATTATCTATGTGCACGTAAAATGTATTCTCCTTCCGCGGACATGAACCCCGTTTCCTCCAAAAAACACACGCCATTTCAGAGTTTTAAAGTAGCCTGCCACTTTTTAATATTAATGAGGTTGACGTCAGCCACGCGCCGAGACCCGCGATGTGATTGGCTGGAAGTGCAGCCATTTTTCGCTTAACCAACCAACACCGATGTTTCAGCATGTGGCTGACGTTAACCTCATTAATATTTTTTTTAAATGGCAGTTTTTGATGCAACCAAGTTACCAAGTTAGGTGGGGTCGACATTTCGACATCGAGAGCTTTCCTCCCTTCACCTATATATATGATCAATGGGGTGTCTGTTTAACCGAAAGACGATCTAAACCCCTAAAACATGTAAAATTACTCTAAACACCTTAGTTTAGGTCCAAATATAGCTGTAACAAATTCCCAGGTCCCTGTGGTCGGACATTGTGTCAGATCACGTAGATTCGGTCATTGTTATTTAAATATCCGTATTGATTGCTTCTTGTCGTATTTGTAATAGTGTAACCATGTTGGTACAGGAAACAGTCAATTTGAAATAACCAAATATAAAGTAATTTAGGAATTTGTTTTGACCCGAAAACAAATTCCTAAATTACTGTCAAATCACTGCCGAGCATAAAATTCAGAAAATGCGGGAGAAACAATAATAATAGATATAAAATAGATGCCTGAAAACATTTTATTTTATTCACACTACTTCCTGATTAAGTTTGAAATGTGTATTTTGGCGTTAACCTAAATGGAAATATACAAATTAGTAATTGCTTTTCTCAAGCCGTGAGAAACATAAATCACGATTACTGCCATTATTTTCTATCTCTCATGTTTGAATACTTTATCCTGAGAGTCGGTCGAGGCATACTGTTTTGACCCATGGATAATGAATAGGCCTATCGCATCACATAAGGTTAACAGAGTTATCGCGCATTGCCCATACTGATAAATTGTATCAATAATATATTCCCGCGGTTCAGAGAATAGCGGGAATTATTTGTCTTATCGGTTCGATACGGATATTGCCGAGTGTTTTTAGTCAATCGGATTGGCTCTGTATGTAGCACGTGCGATACGTGTAAGCGTATCGTGTACGTGGGCCATTTTCTAGCCGCCTTTCCAGCGCGACGGTCATATTAAATTTTAATAATATATATCTTTTGGCAGGGTTAGTGGATTTTCAGTTATTTTCAGGTTGGCCGGCTCGCTCGGCTTCCTATTCTCTACTATATCGCACTAGGTTTTTTTTATCTTGTGTATCATGAGGGGAAAGATACACGTGAGAAAGATAAAAGTACGGATTGATATATATGTATAATAATAGCATTAGGTTTGCACATGTAAGAGTTTTTTTTGTGTATGAACGTTTGTCAATGTATGTTATTTTTGAAATACATCAACTAAATGCTTGACCATAGCGCACGGCGGGCTAGGCGGGCAAACTGATATGTTTGTGTCGTGTTGTTTATGACGTAGTAGAGATTGGACCTCGATATCGCGCATTGCGCTATAAACATAAATTTTAAAAAAATCGGACGAATTTGATACATTGTTTAAGTTACAGTAATGCACTGAAAAATGCATGAATAGCTATTAAAACTTTGACTTCTTTTGATAAGATATCAGTCATCCAAACGAAAACCAAAAGATGACAACTTTAGAGATACTTCATTAGGGATTGTTCTTATATATATGTTTAGGAAGTTTTTGATCAAAGTCAAGCACATGGGGGACGGATTAATGCTTAAGAAAACACTGTTAAACTTGATTTCCATATGAAAAGCCGTTTGAGTCATCGACACCAGCACTAATCCCGAATGCAGGTGACGACACTGGGACGGCACCTAACCTACAGACGGCTCCACATTTTCTCAAGATACAACAATAGTCACAAAATCTGCTCACCTCTAAAATTATTAACCAGAATCAATTTCGTTGGTCTTCGTTGGCATCAAAGCATTCGTACTACTTATAAAATTCGTCGGTCTGGAATCCGTGCTGGACAAAAGACATTGTCAATGCCATAGAGCAAATACACCGTCAAGGGTCTCCATTTAGTTTGAAACTGCCGTGATCTGGCGAATTCAAGCGGCCACAGCAAAATGAAGTGCAAACCTTCCTGACAGCTTATGATCCAATATTTAGTCAATGACAGCTTTTAGAAGTGAATATTAAAATGCAATTTCAAAAGTTCAAAACTACCAACTAATATATGTACAGTTCCGGTACTGCAAGTTCCTCTATAAGCAATCCCATTAAATATTGTGTTCGTAGGGCTATGAACGCAATTTGATCAGCCTCATTTTGAAGCTGATGTAATCGATTTGCGTTCATAGTTTGGTTTGGTTTGGTTTGGTTTAGTATTGTTTATCGTCCTATCAACAGCCATGGTCATTTAAGGACGGCCTCCCCTGTGTGCAAGATGCATGCGTGTAGTATATGCTTGTGTGTTTTTGGAGGCTGCGATATGTTCGTGTTTGTCTCCTTGTGATAGCGCGGAACTGATGTCGGCTTTATAGTGCTACCTCACTGAAACATACTGCCGACGACACCCAGCAGGACACCCCACCCAGCAGGACAACCCACCCGGCCAATGCAGACATACACAGAAGGCTGACTTGGGATTACTATAATGCATTGGTAGATACTTCCAATCCTTGATAATCCCTCAGAAATCCCTGAGAACTTTCAAAAAGAACAGAAAAGATGCTCTCTCGTATTGCACATGTCGCTATGTTTTCGGTACGAGATACACATGTACTTGATGACGGTGAGGTCATGGTGGATTTTGTAAAGCATACAAATTAAGGCTGTCTATGCATATCTTTCCACCACTTAAGTCAAAAGGCCGGAGGTACTAGAGTACTATCGGAGAACATTTTGCACAAATTGAGATCCTTGATGCTGTATTTGCTGTATGGCATTGATGTCTTTTGTCCAGTACGGATTCCTGACAGACTCATTAGGCGCACGTGACTGCATCGACCTTATGTGCATGGTCTCTTACAGTAACCGTAATTTTTGTCTTTAAAAATCCTCAAGGCGCGATTGTTTTCTTTTGACCATACTATTTATATATTGTTCCGTTCATCACAGGTAATGAAGTTATATCGCAAGTCATTTAAAAGTGCCGTATTAATCAAATGCAACAGATATTTGCAATTCATATGTTGCATTCTTTGATATCGGGAAATCCCTTTTTACAGAGGTCTGAAAATTGGCAAATACCGACATGCAATAGCAAGGATGACACACTCACTAGTAAAGCATGCAATGACCGTTCAGTACATACCATGTCATAACTGATTTTGTCATTGTTAGAACCCGGATGGTGTTGATTTTCCTTGTACAAGGGAGACACGCCTTCAAACCTTGTAAGTTATTCCCCCTCCTCCCGGAGCCGCACTAGCCTATTATACGAATGAATAGAACCTCAAATAAGTACAATACTCCGTCACTTTTCTTGAATATTTCAGTTTTCAATAATTATAGAATCGCTCTTATTCGTTATTACATCAAAACCGGCCAAAAGAGGTTCAACAGACGCTAATTATTTAATGTAAACTTAGAGCTGTAGAAATGCTTTTGTCTTGGTAATGAGAGACAGAATCTGGACTGATGAGGTCCAATTATCTAGACATTTAGTAGAATTACACGATTATGACAAAGGGCACCGACTGGTACCGGTCAAAACACCATCCTCAAAGGTACTCTCCTTGGTTTCTATTCAAACTCAAATGTCTCGGCCTACATACATTCCATGCTATACAAATCTGCTTTTGCGAAAAAGATGAAATAAACATAAAAACAGGACATTGTGACGTCATTGATTAACTCTTGCAATCACTATCTAGAGTTGTCTTTCCTTGCACCTCTGTAAACGGATACAAAATAGTTAGCACTATATAATTATCCCCTGATCATGTGACACTTGGTCATGTGCCGTCAATGCCGTCAAACCGTACAACATGGTGGCGACAGACAAGATATTCCATTTTCCATCATCATTTGAGTTCACCAGAATATCACCTTTTCTGGCATATACATTCCAATACCTTGACTTGTTTGTACTTTAAAACCAAATATGGTTCATGTTTCTCTGCAATCGTGCTAATATAGCTCATCACGAATCGCACACGTGGCGTAGACGTAGATACCAAGCCGTAATGGCGCACACAGATATAATCCTATCGATTTTGTGTTGAAAGTTGACCTACGGTGACATACATGTATTTTAGAGAAATGAAGCTTAAACATTTCGTTTTTTTTTTTTAATTATAAATAGTTTTTTGTTTTTGTTTTTTTTAAAATTATAAATAGATTTTCAATACTTTCCCAAGATTCTTGGCATCCGGCCGTTTAAAGAGGTGCCAGTGAGATTGGAAATCTTGTTGTCCTATGAGTGCCCATCACAAATATGTCTCGTCGCGTCAAATTGATTTTGTAATAATTCCACTCTTCTCTGCAAACGCTGTTTCCAGGTTTACATATACGTATTCGAAATCAGTAATTGTACACGATATTTACGGCAATATAGTATACTTTGGATCTATCATATCTCATCAGCGTAATACTGAACACATTGGTCAAGATAAATCAGGGTGTCTGAAACTGTGTGGGCACGAGGTTTCCATTGACACCCTTAAACGTTGGAAAGACTCTGATCAAATTTTGGTTTAAAGTAATTACTATCACGTCTCAGCATCCAGTATTATAGTTCTCTTCGTTACAAAACAGAACTTTGATACTTTCAAGCTTGCCGTGAAAATAAAATCACTAATTTACACGACTAACTAATATAAGTGCCTTATATTAGTTAAGTAAAACCCTACCAGGTTCAGATGACATTCATATCGGCTATGAATGTCAAGGCCCAGTAGCAACTCTGATAAATAAGAATGAATCCAATAAGTATCTGGTAGTTTATATTTTTTATGAATGATGAACAAATAAACAAGTATTAAATAAAACAGTTGAACAATTGGGATCGTGTTATTGTACGGTTGCACTGGAAATAGTTGTGTAATTGGTAGTGCTTCAATGTACATATGTATTAATTGAATTAATATTATATTACAAAAAATGAAAAATATATATACCACTAAAATGTACCGATATCTGAACATTATTGACGATCCATAACGAATCTATTTCAAAGAAAAAGCGCATGGCTACTTACATTTTTTCTCTCTCGAATACACTTAAATTAATTTAACTAATGAATAATTAAAAATATTTTGAATAAACGATGAATTCTCGTTGAAGATTACAGTGAAACAAACGAGGATATATTTGGTGGTGTGCGCCCTATACTCCTGTCACTCCATAGACATACCCAATAACCTGATACCCACGAACATTGGTAGTGTATCACTTTTGTCCATTATGGGAGTACTAGTGATGGGTGCCCTGGACAAATCGTTTCCCTCTGGGGTCTGATCAAGTTCCGGAAGTGAGGCTAGCGTTTTCTCCGAGGTATGATGGCTTATTCTAGATAGTTGAGGCGTTGCTTCGTTTTGCTGAATTTGTTCGACTTCTGTAGATGTCACGATTCCAGACTCACATATTTCTTTATCTGGGATTTGGTCGTCATGGAGATTGTGTCGCTCTGCAGAAATCCACGGAGGTCCTATGATTTCGTAGTACTTCAGGATAGGGGCTTGACGTTAAATAGAAAATTTAATGCGGTCATATGTTACATTGTACATGTATATCATTTTTATCATGCAGACGTATTCTTTATCAAGCGAAATCCCGACATTTACTTCTTCGATGTCTATTAACATATTACGATGTGTTAATATCTTGCCCTCGCCTTTCAACAAGACAACCAATGTTCGGTTCCCCTATCGGACGTGAAAAGGTAGGGGGTCACCTGACCGATTACTTGGATAGTCTCTGGGTGCTATACAGTTATCTCCCACGTCAAGACCCTGTGCGCTTCCGAACCAATAAGTTTGTTTCATAAATGTTGCCACATAAATAAAGCTCTTTTTTTTTATTGTTATACAATATTTCCCTAATTCTTTGATTTTCGCTCACTTACGTTCTCTGCATCTGTGGATTGTGTCATAACAAAGTTGGAGGCACGCGGTTAGCTATTTGATTTCAGGTTTCGTCATGGGATATTCCGGGAAGCAGAGAACGTATTAGAGAGCACAACCCTGGAATTTCGAGGATGACGAATTGAGCGACAGATTTTTTACTTTTAAAGTTAGTATTTCTTCCTTCATTTATTATATCGCAACGTCATTCCAATTTTACATATTTAAACTCCACGAACTACTGATAAGAATCCTATTCCGTTGTTGAGTCAGTATTTGAACTTGTTGAAATGAAAATGCATCAAAACAGCATCTTTTTTGGTTCACAGTTGTAAGTAATCACTGGTTGGGTCAGCTATGTTTAAACTCACCTACTGGTAGTCCAGGGTGTCTGGGGTTTTCAGTCTGAAATCAGAAAATTAAAACAACGTGCGTGAAGCAGATTAACACGAAAATGCCCAATGATATACGTAATTTGAAATATGAGCGACATGTAGAAATATGCTTCAGCAAAAAAAAACGTATTGTAGAGTATTGTGGATTGTAGAGTAGACCGAGTTCTGAGCTAAGGGAGTAGTAAGCATGCTGTTACACAGATACAGATGAGTTCGTTTGATGTAATTCATTCACGGCCAACTGGTAAAATACTGGTGCTGTTACACGAAAAACATTTGAAAACCATATAATAAGAACCAATAAAAATGACCCCCCCCCCCCCCAAAAAAAAAGAGTAAAACAAGTCATTACATTTAAAAGATAGTAATAACAAAAACTCACACATGAAAAACAAACAAACAAAAACAAAAACACACATAAAAGATCTGACAATGTTTGTCGTACAAATTATGAGTGCTTTTGTTTTTAAATAATTGTAACATCTACCTCACCTCACGGGCATCCTGGACACTTCCTGAAGTATCTGAGTATAGAACATTAAACACATCCTTTAAAAATACCCAAAAAATCAATGCATACGCATGCGTCCTACAATTACAAAAAAACAAGATCAAATGAGAATCAAAAACGTACGCGTATTCAAGTTTCCGTCGTTCCCTAACATTTTTTGCAGTTCTTCGCCAGCGTAAGATCTTCCAGTGAATGTGGTCCGGGCCTGTTAACAAATAAACAGTTTGTTTCAATTTTAAATCACGAAAACAACATTTCTAAATGTGAAAAATTACTGATGACTGAAATAAAAGTAATGAATCGATTTGGGAGCTGATTGAATACAATTCACTGTGATACACTGAATGATAAATTAATATTATTCTTTGACGTTACAAGAAAGCAATTTCCTGTACGTCCGCGCAAGTGTAAGTTTAAACATACATGTGACATCAGCTAAAGGTATGTGTGTCAACGCGTTTATTACATACCTACAGTTTTTGAATATTATATATTTATTTCCCTTATTGAATGTAAATGCGATTCTTTGTTTCCCGAGAATAATTATATTGTACGAAGGCGAAGCCCGAGTGAAACATGACTTATCAAGGGCAAACAAAGAATCATGTTTTCCAACCTCAACAGCAGAACATATACTTATATATATATATATATTTATCTATACCGATATAAACCATTTACACAACAGTAAAGATTGTCAGGTTGCGCGTCATTGCTGTCGTCAGCTTCAGTCACCGGAACGCATAAGTGGTTACTCCTGACCATTTGTTCTATTGAAACTCCGAATAAGGGAAAAACTCGAGCGCGTGAGTCAGGCACGGTGTTTTATTTCTCGTCATGTGATCAATGTTATCCAATCAGACACGCTGTTACATGTATGTAGATGAAGCATAATAATACATTTCTGCAAAACATTGCACATTATTTCCACTGATGTATTGACATTTAATTTCCTTACATAATCTTTATAATGAACAACAATGATGCCGCGGTCCTAACGACGTAGTAACCAGAAAAATTGCGTCACGCATATGGCGTTAAATAACTAGAAACACATTCTTATGCAAAATGTTTGTAATTTATCAAAAGGGAAATACCGACCATTGTACTCACCGGGTATGTCATTCATTGACATACGGAAGATAATGGATGAATTAAATAATCATTCAATCAATCAATCAATGTCCATAGCTCATAAAAATAGTTCATTTGAAACAAACTGACTAAACATGTAGGGATACATTGCTCAAACTACATTTCATAAATATCTTACCTTAGGGATTACATTGACGATATCCTCGTCGGGTGAATCGTTTATAGTAACTGTAATTTAAGCAAATCAATGTTTAACCGAATATAAAGCGGAGGATATCTAGTGAGTGAGGGAAAGATTACATTTTAAATAAACTCACCAAAAACTCTCAAAAAGCTGTAAAATCCTGTTTGTTTATTGAATGTATTCAATTAAAATGGAGTGACGTCATTCATAATTTGTGTCGAAAGTTTTGTGTTTAACTGGTTTTCCCCATAGTAGTACCTGAATGTTCTCCCTTAAAACGAGTAATGTAAGAAAATTACGTTATTCTGTACGATACTCGCTAAGACTGGCAGTCACCATACTCTACTGGTATCTGGTATATATCTTAGAAACTCTCGTCGATATTTCGTAGAGTTACCTCCCTCTTGTATACCGTTCGTCAAGCCGCATACTGTGGAAAAACATTTATCATTTGTACTGAATCATCTTGAGAAAAATAACTTTAAACTATAACGTGTAACCAGTTCGGTTTAAAACTTATGCATAGCACGTCACAAGTTACTTCGGATTGATAGACGGGTGTAATTAGTGAAGTTTATCATTTATAGATTGTACTGACTCACTGTTAGAAATATCCCAGATGTTAGACGAGTCGTCCGCATCGATATCGGTGTCGTCGTCGCCGACGTGGGAAACATAATCGCCCATCATTTTGAAACGAAATGCCGCGAAAACGGAATATAAATGCACGTTTCTGATTGGTTAAATAACATAATTATAACTTGAAAATAACGAAGCGGATCCGAATCCGGAATATCTTTTCTGGCCTGCTTAGTAAGTAGAAGATTACAAAAACGTGAAGGGATGTCGTCTGAAACAAAATTGAACTGTCTTTAGAAATAAATGTCTGAAATCGATGAAATAGAGGTATTTTTGTTGGAAATCTCGCATATCTCGAGATGATAGGTTGTCTTATGATCTGGCGGAATTTAAATTCTTACAGTAGGCCAATACATGTAATATTAAAACACAATGTTTTTATTTTTTATGATTTTTGATTTTTTTTTGATACCATAAAAAAATATTTATTCATACATCCCCTTAATTCTGTTTCAGATATAACCGTAGCACAGTTTTGCCAGAACACTTCTGTTGGCATTTTCAGATATAACCGCAGCACAGTTTTGCCAGATCACTTCTGTTGACATTTTCAGATATAACCGTAGCACAGTTTTGCCAGAACACTTCCGTTGACATTTTCAGATAGTTATTGTTTTCTTAAAAGTCCCACAAGGTATGTTTATCTTTTCAGAAATGATTTAAAGTTTAATCTACATAAAAGGGCCGCGGTGGTCAAGTGGTTAAGGCGTCTGACATTCAGCTCAGCTACCACTAGCCCTCCACTCGAGGCCTACGTGGGACAGTCGCCAGGTAATGCCCGCATGTCAGTGTGTTTTCTCAGGAAACTCCGGCTTTCCTCCACCACCAAAACCTGGCACGTCCTTAAATGACAATAGCTGTTATAAGGACGTAAAATACAAACAAACAAAACCAAATTAATCGACATAAAAGTCTCATGTGGTGTATACAGAAACAAATCATCTCTGCATTGCATGTTAATATCTTGGGCCGTTTTCTGAAATGTGTCCCGTTTTGGGTACACTGTCGACGTTATATTCACGCCGAATTTGTTTCCAATGTGTAGTTACAGTTTTGCAGTGTAACAAGAATCCTTAAGCATATTGATGAAAGATAATGTATTGATTGGACTTACTTGATTTCATTATACATATTGAATAATTAATATCAATTGAAATATAACTTGTTTGGTAATTGTTGTAAAATGAATAAACTTTTTATTTATATTGTACATATCTATCAAAGTCATTTTGTGTTGTTTGAAAATATTGCAAATAGACTTGGCAATTCATCAACATGCCCGATAATTTTCTAATTAAAACTTTTTGGACTATTTTAGAACGTTAGACACATACGTATGTAACTATATTCATCTATGGTAATCAGAAATAAGAATAGAAATTAAGAAGTTGCTGGGAGGTTTGACTTGAAAGTTCCGTTGTGGTGTAAAGAAATGTAATTGATTTTTTTTTTGACAGAAAACAAAATTAAAGCATCACTTCAACAAAAAGCATCAATAAATTATTATTTTTATTAAAAAAGTAGAAAACAATATAAATACAGACATACAAAATAATGGTAAGATATTGGGATGAATAAATAAGAAATGATTTCTGACACTTGTCTGTCATTATACGCTATAAGAAAAAGCATAGCACATACATACAGTGGAACATGAATGGATTTAAATTAGGCAACCGGAATAACGAATTCAGTTCAGTCTCAGTGAAGCAGGATGTGTAAGGAAGAGGTAATATAGATATCGGAAACAAGATTCATTGTAAATATTGGCGGAATTATTATATATAAATTGTACCTGTAGACTACAGGAATTGAATTTAAAATTCAAAGTATACATTTGAAAACAAATCAATATCGATTTTCTCGTTCTTATTAAATCACGGAGAAGATTTGCACTGATTCACAATCAAGAATTTGTAGTACAATAATTTGATAAGAATATTCATACAGTCTTTACGTAAAAGTGTCACTTTCAATAATTCACACTGAACGTGAACGTACTGGACCATGAATCCGTAAGAAAAACGTGCTCGCTATCAAATAACACGTTAAACGTTCAAAAACTTTCGACTTAAAACATGTCCAAAGTTACTACCAAACTAAAACAATAATTCAGCGAGTCTTACATAGCCAGTGTCAAATTGTCAGCATTTGTCCGGCAAGTACCAGGGATGTACTAACCATGCATTTGAAGAAAAACAGACCTTTTCAACAAGTCTGTGAGATATCTGTGATCGTTTTCATACCCGTTCAACAGCACTCCAAGTGGTGTATGCAGAGGAAAACTTGTCAAGCAAGTCTTCTAGGTAAACAGTCTCGTCTACATATTTATTTGCCAGCCCTCGAAGAGACACTTGTTCAGAGGAAGAATTGTCCAGCAATTCTGTCAAGAAACAAATGTTCCTTTTTCACCAAGCCTCGGCGGAAGAATTTTTGAGGTTGACAGTTGTTCTGAACCTTTGGAGTGATTGCTACTTTTTCTGAAACTATCGGAGACATCGAAAAATGTTCAACGAAAGTACTTTTAGAAGATATCTTGTTCAGAGAAAGGAAAGACTTGTCCGGCAAGTCTCGAATACACATTTAAAGCAAGTTTTTGCTTAAAGTTTCTCAAAAGAAGTCTTTTTCGGAGTAAAAAAATGTCTCAAAATATTTTCAGCAACTCTCAAAGAAACTCTGAAGCGCCGTTCATTGTTCAGCAACTCTCGTAAGAACACTCTGGAGTACCGTACACATTGAAGCAGGAACATTTGTTACCACATTTATCCACGATGACTGACTTTCCGAACGGTATAAAGGTGTTTTGGTGACGACAACCTGTCAAAAAGAAAAGCACATATAAATAGAGGAGGACATTCGACTATAAACAACAAAGAACCGAAAGTAACAAGAATAATTGCACGTGAATTGAAGATGAAAAAACGAAATTCATCTTCTTATTTTATTATAATTTACATTTTTAGGACTATTATCAAATGTGAACATTACAGAAGTTATCATCATTAATTAGTAGGAATTGTATTTCCTATCCATAAATCTAAGCCTGTTTTATTTGTGATTTAGAAGCTGTGCAGTATCTAACGTGTGTAAGCCACATTCTTTCTGCTTTCATATCGTTAACATTGCCTGACACTTTCCGAGACTATTTTGTAATTGTGACTTAAACACAAAATTCAGTAAATAATATATACCTTTATAGTAAGTTTTTCAAATATTTGCAATATATTAAGAATATATCGAAAATAGTTTATCTATGAGAAACAGACTTTCAAACTCGTGAGATACCTACCCTGTCTACACTGGCAGTTAAGGTTAGGGATCCAGTCCGGGCACTGCCACTGTTCAGAGAACACACACTCCTCACCAGAGGCACAACCACGGCTGTAAACAACAATAAACGTCATGTAAAAATCAAAACACCAAACAAGATAATGTCAAAACAGAATATGACTTTATCATATGTATTTGCCTGTAACTTCTAATATTGAAGTGGATCAACCGTTTTTCTTATATGATACATTTTTGATGGTTTACAAACGTCAAACCCTTGCATAGGTAAAAAAAAAACACCATGTTTTCACAAAGTGTATTTGTATATCTTTCAAAAAGCACATTTCCAAAAGTACAACGAATATCAATTTTTAAGTTCCTGTTTTACTATTACTTTATTAGTCAATGTTTAAGTTACAATACCTCGTGCGACATCTCGAAACAGCCGCCGGAACTCTCTGTATCATATTAGACTGTGTCTGCCAGAACTCTCCTGTCATTGGACGTACGATCTGCTGCTGAGTCGGAATGGCGGGAATCTGTGGAATCGCAGGAATCTGGGGTATCATTGGAAGTTGAGCATTTGAAATCACATTTTGACCTGGCATATTGAGGCCTGGTGGTCTTGGGTAAACTATATTTGGAAGTTTGGAAATGATCATCGGCATTCTTGCTGGTTTGAAATGGCGATATAGATGAGCACTCGACGGGGTTGCTATCAAAATAAGCGTGTTGAGAATAGATACTGCAATTGTTGTACACATCTTGTTCATAATGCTTGGTAAAATAATATCTTTGCTACTACCGAAAAATATAAACTGTTCAAATAAACTGGAATTCAAGTAGAATTTAGAAAATTAGATACAAGAGTGTTTCTAATTGATGCTGCTCGGTAAAGATCTAACGAGTTGTGATGAAAACTAAGTATATTTCATTCATATATATAGGAAAGTTGATTTCGTTTGCGAGCGTCATGCTTTCACTTGTTATGACCGTCCTGTATAATCTCTGTTCATCCGCGCATGGCCTACGTACATGGAAACCGACATCTATCCATCATACCTGTCACGCTCGGCCATCGAGGGATAGTCCTCGACGTATTATTGGCTCTAACTGACCTTTGATATCGGTGTTTGTGACGTCAGACATATACTAGTGCCTCGGTCATTGAGGAATATTTCCAAATAAGGTAAACACAACATTTGACGCCTGAAATCATTGTCACTTTACGACACGCTCATTGAGGAATATTTCCAAATATGGTATTGTAGTACTATGAAAGTCACACACAGAAGAAATGATTTTCAAACTCGCGTTTGTAAGATGCAACAATATTTCATGTTCCCAATATATATATATATTAAATTAAATCTGAAAAAAATAAGCTTGGAGTTAAGGTACTTTACTAAGAAAAAATGTCTATCAAATAACACTTATTTGTAACTGTTGCTCAAGGTATTTTCTTTATTGCCATGGTTACATACACGTTTAACAGTACAATAAGTCGTTACAAAATCAAGAATCCCACACGATAATTGCACTATGATAGAAAAATTACGCTACTTCAATATATACCTTAGTGCAACCGATAGAGATACAAAATGAGTTCGATAATTATTACCAATAACGATTTCCATCACCCATACAAGGATAAAGCGTCGAGCCTTTTAACTCATGCCGCCAAAAGTTGCTCGAATAAAATAAGAAAAACATATAATGCAATGTAATATAAAAAAACACGCTGAAATTTGTATCAATTCATGCAGGCAACGTTATTAAAATCTATCGCAAACTTTAAAGGGCGTACGGTTCATATAGCAAGCAATACTGCATTTTCAAATTCGTTTGTGCTGGCCGGAAAATGTTTATGACAGTTTAATTAAAGTATTTTTCAATCTCCCTAGTGCGAAAATTTTCACTTATTGCGTGTACAGAAATAGCTTAAATCATACAAAAAACACATACAATACTCGTGATTTGATCAAGTAAAATATGCAAGTTCTTCCAAAACACACATTTCTTGCCATTGAATTAGGAAAACACATATTGGGCAAATTTCGGAAGTTGTTGTAGGTTTTCTAACTTAATATTTCCATTTCCATTGTACAACCTGAAGATAAATCGTCATAATGAAGGAATAATAGAGGACCAGGCCTTACGGAAATTATCAAATAGTTTTGGATTGACGTTAGTTACTGACAGAAAAAGAAACCATAGAAAACATTGTTCTTATATTAATGGTCGTTTCATCATTTGGTTAAACAGTAGGTTATTGAAAATTACATGGTACCCTGTAGTGCACTTTTTCATGATCTTTATTGTGGCGGTTCAAGATTTATGAGAACCATTTTGTTTCCAAAATATTTCAATCAATACAATCACCATTTATCTCGTTCGATGCATTGTATGCATATCTACGGTATTATGAATATCACAATGGAATATTTTAGACAATATTTCCAATGGTAATAAGCCCGATTTGATTTAGCAAACATTTTCCTCTTAAATGCAATACAATTAATTTTACAACACTTCTAAACACAGAGGATTTTACAGGAGTTTATTGAAACGAGTCAGAGAATTTTCAATTTCAAAAAGCCTCAGGCGAGCTACGCTTAAAAAATCGTGAGGAGTTTAATATCACATGAAATGGAAACGAACGTTAAATTTTATTACATCAATAGGATTTGATGCAGATATTTTATTATTTTCTTTGGCTGGCTTTAAATCTCAAATGTCGACATATCGAGTCCAAGTGTTTTTTGTGACGTTACATGTACAATATATCACCATGAAGTTGTGACGTCACACATGTAGCTCCGTTAGGTGTGATAAACGTGTTCGTAACACTGATAACAGGGTGGCCTTATGCTAAATAGTTTACATTAGGAATGCAAAAATGGCGGTTTTTTATGTTTAACGACATTTTGTGACAAAGCGTGTTGGTTAATGCAAATCATATGACACAAAGAATACCACACTCCTTCTCTTTCCACTTCGGGGTTTTGCGTAAATTTTGCAGTTTTTTGGTTTGATGTATTTTGTCTTGCTTCTAAAGAGTACCAGTGACAATAAAAAGTATACATAACTGGATTTACTATCTAGGAGTTCATCTTTATACATGTTGACGATTAAAATATCAACATATATACAGACTGAGAGTCTCCATATATCGGAGGTGGATGATTTCACTGACAGGAAACGTGACATCAATTTGTTTATATCATGGATTCATGGTTCGGTGTACCTGAATAATAATCACGGTTTAATTGATTAGCGCGATGTTTTGTCATCATTGACCTTAGTTGACCACTCGTATTCGTGACCAGTAAGCATGTAGGCAGCGATGTCTGACGGTCATGCATGCTTACATTTTTAATGCATGTTGAGGCAAAGCGAACCTGTCAACAATGTTTTCGGAGCATCTTGTCAGGTTGCAGTTCCTGTGAATTAGTCGAGATGTTCCGACCGATTAAAAACTTATAAACTTAATAAGCTTTGAGAACAGGACCCAAATGTTAAAATCTATCCGATTATTTATTTTTACTTCACTTTTATGCATTTATTAAATATTTTCATGGGTATAACTTGATGCCATTTTTATTTGTTGTGTAACCGATTTTCAGTTGTGACGTCATAGAGACAATATATAGATATTGAATGGATTTTTTTTTCATCCTCAGAAGATATGTAGATCAGCTACTGCTATTCATTGCAATGCACATGAAAAAAAAATCCATTCAATTCATATATTTACGTTACGATGAACTACAATAAAAGAGGAATAACACTTTTTGTAATTTTTATATTTTTAATATCAGTATCGGACAGATAACCATAAAAAGGGAACAGCCAGAACTCCAGCCTTCACACAAACTTCAAATGTTCGACTTCCGCCGATCAGCTGATTTTGTTGAAACGAAAATATATATATAGAATCTAATAATTACTAACACTTGATATTCCTTTAATTTTTGAAAGTTGATCTTATTTGATGTTTTTTTCTCATTCAACACGGCATATTATATATTTATAAAAAGTTTATGTCAGCACTATTTCAAATCATCGGCCAACATAATAACCATACACGACACCCGTCTGCAGTAAGCATAGAGTTCATTGAAGTTAAATGAACAGCCGTTGAATATGCTGTTTGCCAAAAAAAACTGCAAATGTAAATGATTATAAGTTGATGGATGAAGTGCCCTGTGTCATTACAGTGTTCTCTCGGTTTAATGTGCAAGTTGATGTCACGTGGATTACGCAGCCGGATATCATTATGTCAGTTATAGTAGTTAAGAAGCTTAAGATTTCCACTTCCGAAATTGTACCCTTATGCAAAGAAGCCGCACCAAAACAATCTGTTCTGGCTAAGAGTAACTTCCCCTTTCAAAGTTTTCATCTCTCATCTTGATGCTGTGCATTTATACATCCCAGATAGCAGCATTTGAAATGTATTATTTAAGCAGTCCTGAGTTATTTCCCTTTACCGATTCCAAATTATTTAAGCATTGAAAAGCATCTTTGTAACATTGATGATTGTTCCTACGATGCACGGCCAAAGAATTTTTGAAATATGTTTGAACAAAACTGTGCTACATACCTCATAAAGGATAAAAGGATACATTTTAATCATTATATGTACATTCAAAACGAATAAGAAGTTTCTCTTCCAATTTTCCAATTTTTGTGTGTTTTATCTTAGTTCATAAAACAGGTTTTAAAAAGCCTTCGTGATCTACAAACATTCACAGGAAACTGTGTTATTTATTCTTGCTAGGGATACCCTGACCTATGTTCTTCAACGGACGCATGCGCTGTATTGCATAAACAGTTTACACGTGAAATATCACGAATTCCTCATTTGATGGATACATATCTTCAATACAGTATAGATACAAGAAAAACCCCAGCGTTGTGGCAAAATTCGTAGCAGTCTGGACAAGTTATATCTATTATTCAAAGGGGGGCTACGATTTACGCTTTAACCTAGAAGACAGTTGATATTTAAGGAACATATACATTGTCAAAAGAAATATTTGTAAACATCTCTGCGATTTTGACCAAAGGTATAAATGTTATTTTATGCAAATCCTGTAATGTCCCGGACTTCTGTCTCTCAGAAGATGACGTTATTACCAAATAGTTGACACTTAAACATGTTGTTAAAAATGTTCATTTGCGTGCTGTAAGATTATTGAGTGACAATAGTGCAAAATGTAAGGATATTGAGCGTGAACGGAATATTCTAAACGACAAAATTAATGCCATCAACAATTTATACAATCATGATTAAATAAACTCAAGTATGCATGATCCGGTCCCTCTTGGTTGTTGGAATGTCAGCAAGTCATTTTCATTAAATAGATTTGGTGTCCAGCAGCTTTGCTGCATTTTCTCGTTAAGTATATTATAGGTAATATTTTGTATTTCTGTTATTATTAATTATTGACAGAACTTCAGGCTCCTGTTGTTTTACTACATAATTTCGAAAGAGACAATATAAGATATTGGTACGCCGAAAAACATTTTATCATTTTAACCAAATTGCGTCAAATTCGACAGATAATTTTTGTAAGAGGATTATGCTTAGGGTTTGACAACAAGTATTTACCTGCTTTGAATAACACCCAAACCTGTTCCAGCTGTGTTATCTCTACTAAAGATTCCAGGATCTGTTTTTGTGTTTAAATATTTAATAATTAGGTGAATAAGGGTACTACTAGAAAAGACAACAGTTATATTCATAGATACTAGCTTTACGTACGTTTCAAGTCTTCCTATTCAGTAAATCCTACTAGCGAAACCAAGGAACACAGCCGAAACAAAACGGAGGGTCATGTCAGAGTTCACGTGGCATAAAGCTCCTGTAAAAAGAGTTCCACACGAATATGATTTAATGAATGATTCATATGACAACACATCTGGAATGCAATATATCACAATGCAACCCAGATAATTCTGATTTACGAGATCACGATAATTTAAATTGTGTAACTTAAACACAAATCATACATATACAGTTGTTATGATTACTATTTTCAAACTTGATAGATCATTTAGTCGAACTACATTCACCTATTCGATACAAAAGCAAAATGTAATGTATGCTTTGAATGTACTGGTCAGGGCTTAGATGAAATATTAGGACACTCTTTTGAAAACAAACTTCATTTACACACAGAACGTGTGTGTCCCTCGTACAACTTACAATTAACCTGTATGTCATGACGAAACGTGTCAGATATTACATTGACTCGTTTATCATACTTTGTGTATGATCATAATTAATTCAAAACAGCAATTAAGGCGTAATAACAAATCCTTAAAAGACTGACATTCACCAGGGACCGTCTTCAATATTGAACATGTAAATTATCAATTAAAACCCATTTCACTATTTGAATTAGTTGAATACAGAATAGGAAAAATCATCGACAAAATGAAATCAAAGTGGACTTTTCCCGTTTACTCTTGTAGAAATAAAATAAAAACATTTTTTTCATAGTTAATTCATTTTATTATAAAAAAAGCAAATAATTTAATACACAAAATGACATAAAATTGTCTAAGGATTTCATGTACATAAAAGATGTAGTTCAAGGACGCATTGATATTGAGGTAGGTACGTACATTAATGGGGACATAACTCTATTAGCACAAAAATAAAGCACATATTTCGATTCATGTCCTTATATGGAAACAAAACATGAAACCGAAAGGAAACTTTTCTCCAGTTTCAGCATTTTTGGAGAATAAATAACTAAACAACTTCCTCTCTCTCTCTCTCTCTCTCTCTCTCTCTCTCTCTCTCTCTCTCTCTCTCTCTCTCTCTCTCTCTCTCTCTCTCTCTCTCTCTCTCTCTCTCTCTCTCTCTCTCTCTCTCTCTCTCTCTCTCTCTCTCTCTCTCTCTCTCTCTCTCTCTCTCTCTCTCTCTCTCTCTCTCTCTCAATCGTTCTCTTCCTTCCTTATCTGGAATATGACCACACAGGAGGACACTGTGTAACGTTTATATTTATGACTTTGAAAATAAGGTATCGTTGATATCTCAGGCATTTCCTGTTACCCCATACAATTAAAAATGTATCATAACTAGTTTGGAAAAAAGCCTGAACTACAGCATTTTTTTTCAACTATGTTTTTTTTCTACCAGATATCTGAATTGCAGACAAATATTTCTGTTTTTGAAAATACTTTTAAGATATTACTATATAATATCATATGATACCCAGTGTTCGATGTTCCACGCTTCGTGTTCAAAGTTCAGTGTTCTTGTTCATGTTCCTTGTCTGAAGAACATTGTCCGACAGTCAAACACTGATTTTCATTCACCAGTGTTGAATGAACCATATTCATGTCCAACATTCAATGGTTAATTTCGATTTTCCGACATTCAACGTCATATATTCTTTGTCCAAGCTTAACCTGTTTCATTTGAAGTTCATGAAAAACCACGATCCTTTTCGATTCAATGCGTGATAATAAATATTCAGTTTATTGTCCACGCCATATTGAAAACGTCAACAGTATCCGCAAGTTCATGCTTCAATGATGTATCAAGCTGCATGTTCGTAAAAGCTTCATGAAAAAGTATCTCGAGGGTTTCAAAATGAACACCATCAGATACGTATGAAGTCAGAAATTTCATCAAAACAAACCGCGTTTTTAAATTAACGAAACTTGTTACATGTTTTGGCCATTTGCTGGAATATTGTAACTGTTTGATTAGACTACAGGAGATTCGGTGGACAATTCCTGAGGTGATACAGTATTGTCCGTGTTTGAGATCCCGATGACGTTGTTGAGTGTATCACCAATAACTGGTGTTTCTGCCGCCGAACCAACATTGACAGACGGTACTGAAGAATCGTTCACAAGTTTTTCCACTACTTGCATAGGTTCGGAGAATAGTTGTAATTCCGGGACAGTGACACGACTTGAGGCACTAGGCGGGAGATCGAATCCGCTGTCGGTTTTCGCCGTCGGAAACTCTGTTATACTATCGAATGCGCCCTGGAATCCTCCGAGATCGTTGTCTGAGGGAACAGTTCCGGCTATGGAAAGAGCTGGTTCTTCTGGTTTGCACATGCGCTGTGTACACTCAGCCTACAAAAATAAAAGATATATAACGATAAGTTTTAGATGTTATAACATAGATCGTGACATTTGGATTGATATAAAAACAACCAGTATAACGAAGAAAACTAATTATTGTGCAGTTTGGTTTTGAAAAACTATTTCTGAAAAGGTGTTTTAATAAGAACATTGATTCTACCAGTCTAAATTAATCCTCATCATAAAATCCGAAGTTTGTTTTAATCAACTTACCGCGCCGTACATGTTGTTACAGGAACACGTGTTTCCACAAACGTCGATTGTGATGGATCCACCCAGAGGGATAAAGTTGTAGTCGAGGCGACATCCCAGCCGACATTCGCACGCGACTGAGGGGATGTAACTAGGGCAGATGTATTCCTCCGCGAACACACACTCGGCACCGGTGTCACAGCCGCTGAGGAAAAGAAAATTAAAAAGATTTTGAAAATAGTGCTTTTCAAATATCGATAAAATGTAAACTAGCAAGATTTATTTAATGCTTTTTCATAATGCCCTTTTTTTTTTTTGTATATTATACAATGTTTCTATAACTTTATATATTCAAGTTTGCATGGAAACCAAAAGGAATTGCAAATATGAACAATAAATACTTACGTTTTATGGCAGCTAGAGTTTTGTTTTCCTCCACCGACTCCAGGGAAGATCTGGTTTGTGTCTGGTAAACCTACTTCCGGGAAGGTCATATCAGGGAGGCCCGTGGAATCAGTTGCATCAGTGATGACAACTGGGGTTATAACTGGAAGCTCTGCTCCGTTGCTGGTATCTGTAATAACTACGGGGCTGATAGCCGGAAAACCTGCATCTATGCCGGAAGTAACACCAAGAGATGAAGAGTCCGGTGTGGCTGCTTGGTCCCCGTTTTTGTTTTGTTCCTGAACGACTGGTTTCCCGTCAGCACCAACATCTTTGGTCTGAAAACCTATTCCGGCTCCTGGAAATAGGAAACTGTCTCCAGGGAAAGTGTCAATTCCGTCGATAATTACATTCTTATTGAAATCCACTGGAGGCAATTCAGACATTGAGTTGATTCCAAGGTTTGGGAATGTTGGTACAACACTAGTGACATCTGGTGTTCCCACAACGCCTACACCACCAGGGATAACTCCGCCTTCCCTGGGTACAACAAATCCTGTATTTACGAAACCACCATTTACCGGGTTTAGAAAACCACCATTTACTGGGTTAATAAAACCACCATTTACTGGGTTAATAAAACGACCAGAATTAGGGGCTACAAATCCTGTGTTCACCACGCGTCCGTTTGAGGGGATCACTACATTAGGATTAACTGTCGCTTGTGGATGAAATGTGTTGATACTGGCGGGGAAGGTGGGGCTGTAGAATGGTCCATGTCCATTGGTAGGGGAGACGGTTCCCATACTTTTCTTCTGGATCATGTAGGTCGGATATCTGTGAATGAAGACTCGATGAGGAATGACCACCCGCTTGTGGACGACTGGACGAAAATATGTCCTTCGGCGATAATAGTGACCGCTACAGCTAGATAGAACTCCGAACATAGATACAGCAAACAGCAGAATGGTATTCATTGTGTCCTTGGAGTTGATAGTATTATATAGGTTTTAAAGGTATAGAAAAATAATAGTCCTCTTAATTTAAAAATGCAAGCTGATAGTAACTGTTCCTTTCTGTACTTTTCAGTTGGCGAACATAAAGTCTTCTGTGAGTCTAAGGCAGTAATGCTTTGGTGGAGAGCTGGGTTGTTTCTGGACTGGACATTGTTCGGTGGACATATATATACAGACTATGTCGTGGTGATGACGCATGTGTTGGCCATTTTATATGCATTTCATTGTTACGGTAAGCAGGTTGTTGTGGTCTGCCTGATGTGCATCGGCACGAAACGATGACGCATACACAGGTTTCCACTACAATCGAACGCGCTCCTGGTGACGTAGACCGCCACTTCCTACGACAAACGGTATCAAACTGTCAAGATGGACAATAAAAGTGTCCGAACGGAGGCAGGTCATTCAGGAAGTGACCGTGGTTATCAGACAACAACTAGCATGGAATGCAGTAAAGTGATTAACTGTAGATAATTCTAGAATAAACAAACAACTTTCGTCACCGTTTTCAGTATCTTCGTCACTGATTTGAATTATTTACAAACAAACAATAAGAATGCATTATTCATGAGTTTACATGTAAGGCTTTAGTGATCTCGCCTTCAACTATACGAGCATGTTATGTACTCCTACAAACGCGTGACAGGTGACAAGGCGTTGTTTTGTCATTATCTCAGATACCTAGAGCAACACATTGTATTTTACGATGCCAATACTAATTGGAGCAATACTTACAATTGATTTTAAACAGATTTTTGTACTCTCTTCCTCTGTAATTAGATTTTTATTATAAGAATGTGTTATAATGTTTTATTAAAAAAACACTCATTGCTTTATATGGTTCTGTTGTAACAATGGAAAAATTGTACCGAGATCTACTGGATTGTTAATACGGTGCTCTATTTAAACAATATCTGCTTGTTTGAAAATTCAAATATTGATTTAATTTGGATATTAAATTTAAAGTCGTTCTTATTGCAAGTAACATGGGTTTTGGAAATAATAAATAACTATTATCCTGATACTAATGCAGGCTGGCGATATAGAAAAAAACCAGGACCACGACAACGGCAAGTTACCCATGTTGGTTCGGTGTCTTCCCTGAAAACCAACTCTGCTTAAAATCACATGTTTATATTTGTGGCCAGTTGTGATGATAGTGAGCTATGGTCTATTGCAGTTATGGTGTACAGGTAAATTGCACAGGTAAATCAACTTCTGATAAGTAATCAGATAAACAATAACTGCTAATAATTGCAAAATAATAATTAATATTTAGAACAGTTTTCAGAATCAGTCATATATTTATTATGATATATATTAGTTAAACTTGTATTTTCAGATTTGTGTGAATTGTCTTGTAATTATTGTCATATATTAGTTAAACTTGTACTTATTTTCAGATTTCTATGAATTGTGTTAAACTTGTGTGACTTCAGTTTGATATTATTATCTGTTATGTTTTAATACAAATACTTCCTCGGCTATCATACGGAATGGTTTTCATCATACTATGTAGACATAAAAAAGGGTCTGTAGACAATGGGATCCGGTATCATCTTACTTATTTCTTTTGATAGCTGAAATATTAGCTATCATGGTAAAAAAAAAAGACAACCTTTAATGGCATAAACATAAATAACAAAGAACACGGGCTCTCACAGTTCGCTGATGACACATCCGTTATTTTAAATGGCACAAAATCTTTATATGATAAATATGCTAACATATCAGGGTTAAAAGTAAATACTGAAAAAACAAATGCTATATGGATAGGTAGCAAAAACTTTAGTGCTGATGTATACCATCGAAGGTGGAAACTAAAATGGGAAACAACCAAATTTACCTTACTTGGGATTGATTTCTCTGTCAATTTAGAAGACATGGTTACTCTAAATTTCAACAAAATAATAAGTATTATAGATGGCAAGTTACATCAATGGCCAAGAAGAATTTTAATACCTACATGGAGAATAACTGTTCTTAAATCTCTTATTATTGCAAAAATGAATCACCTGTTTATATCTCTCCCTACTCCAAGTAAAGACATAATTCAATCATTGAACAACAAAAAATACAATTTTGTCTGGCAATCACCAATTGATAAAATAAAACGCTCAACAATTGTTCAAGACTATGGTGAGGGTGGACTCAACATGATTGATTTAGAAAACTTTATATATGGACTTAAAACTAGCATTCAATGATTCACTTTCATGCTTCTTTCAAGAATACTTCCACTTAATCATTATTTGAAAATAATTGGAATCAAAAAATGTGATTTATGTAATTTATGCCAAGAAAGCAAAGAAACTATAGAACATCTTTTTAACAGTGTCAAATAACAAATAACTTCTAGCAAGACATACGTAGATGGATATACTTAACAACTGACCAAACATTCGAAATAAAGGAAGATTTTATACTTTTTGGCAAAACTTCTGAATTCCAATATCCATTCCAACTAAAATCATCATGATTCATGTAAAATTCTTCATCTACTTTAGCCCCAGAAAGGTTTACTGTTTATATTCATGTTTAATAATAACTGTATTAAATGTGTGTTACTGTTATATGAAGGAATAGAAACTGTATTTTATTGCTGACATTAGTATCAATGTGGCTTAAGTTAAGGAATTTTGTTTTTCATATAATGTAATGTTTTTTTTTCTTTTTCATATAATGTACAAATTAATATTTAATGATTATTTTCTATTACTTAGTGCTGTATAACATGTGTATTACAGTTATATGTAGGAAATAAAAACTGTTTATCCATTTTATTATTGACTTTTGTATCATATCTACAAAATGAGTTGACATTCTTAGTTGAAACAGGCTATAACTAAACTTCAGAGAATTTCCTATATAAACACCTTCCTTTCAATTCTCCAGAGTTGGTGTTCGGGGAATGAGCCGTTGGTTCTGCGAGCTCCCTGTCACATGGAAACGTGAAGGAGTATGTTGTGATTGCTGTGACATCTGGCATCACAAATCATGTATTGAACTATGTACCACCGATTATGAACTGTTGCATCGTTCAAATGTCCAATGGATGTGCTGTAAATGTGACAGCATAAATGTGTCAACATTCACTTTTCACACCTACGAACTAATAATGTCAGTTATTACGAAACGCTTACTACACCAGAAAGCATCACAGACTGTAATGAACCTCAGCTTCCAACCTCTGAAAACAAGTAGTCCAAAAAGCAACAAAACAACGTCACTGCTAGACACGTCAAACACTCCATCCAACTTAACACCAGGAAAAGTATCGGGATTGAAAAATCGATTTCCACCGAAAAGAAACTTGCGCATTGTTACCGTTAATTGTAGAATTGTAAAATCCAAAAAAACATGCAATCTTATCTTCAGAAATATTGCCAGAAAATTACACTACCAACAGAAACAAGAATTCCACGGAAGTGGATGTGTCGCCTGCGCAGGAAGCTGGGAGATTACGAAGAATTAGATACACTTTTCATTGCAAGAAATAATGTTAAAAGTAAGCAATAATCATAGATTATGTTTTTGGATGGCATCATTTTGTTATATAATCTGTTATTCTGGGAAGTATACTATGATTTTTTAGGAACTTGCTATGGATACTCATTGTCTCAATTCCAAGTTTAACTTGTATGATTTGTCGGATGATTTCTTATAAATAAATAAATAAACTTGTGGATTATGATGTTAAACAGCTAGTGTTGTTGTCATTTCAGAGGTATACACGGTGGGTCAAGTGGTAGATCGAAGCCGTCCAGTATACAGTTTAGTGAAGTGGTAGATCCAAGGTGTTTAGTATACATGGTGAGTCGAGTGACAGATTAAAGGCGTTTTGTATATAATGCGAGTCAGGTGGCCAAGGCGTTTTGTATACACGGTGAGTTAAGTGGAAGACTAAAGGCGTATTTTGTATACATGATGAGTGGAGTGGTAGATCCAAGGCATTTAATTAGTAGACACATTGAGTGGAGTATTAGATCGAATACATTTTGTATACATGACGAGTGGAGTGGTATATCCGAGGTGTTTTATATACACGGCGAGTCGAGAGGTTTTGAAAATGCAAGTATGCTTAGCACTGCATGAAGTTTGAGTTTGATCGGCCCAAGGAAACTTGAAAACAGATTTTCTATTTATAGTAACAGTGACCTTGACCTTTGACCTTCGGACCTGAAAAGCAATTCAAAGCAAGCACTTTTAGTAAGGAAGCACTGCATGAAGTTTGAGTTTGATCGGCTCCAGGAAACTCAAGCTATCGACTACGCCGACATAGCAATACCTATGTGTTACCAGCTTCTCGCAGGAGACACAATGACCGAGGAACATTAGGGGGAGGAGTGTTCATACTTGTCAACAAAGACATTGTCTCAACAGAACAACCAGAACTAGTAACCAACTGTAACATTGAATGGGTAAAAATAAAAGTTAAAGATGCAAAATACCTCATCATTGGCGCTTTCTACATGCCACACAGGGATACCAAAACTATCGACGAGCTAGACAAATCATTGAAATTAGCAACACAAAACCCTTCTGCAAATAAGATCATACTTACAGGTGATTTTAATTGCCCAGGCATAAACTGGGAAAACCTAACGATACGACACGAAGCAAATGACAAAGAAATCCAACGTCCGCTAATTGATACAACTATACTAGCAGGCCTCACGCAAATCCATGAAGAAATTACAAGAGAAAAGAGCCTATTTGACCTAGTGTTTATTACAAACCCTAGCCTAATCAAAACATCGAATAATATACCAGGCATCTCGGACCATGACATCGTGGTCACTGACAAGGACACCAAACCACACTACCAGAAAACACCAAAAAAGGAAATCGTACATGTGGAGAAGAGCAAATTGGGTGGAAATAAGAAGGAAATTGACAGTCTTAGCCAAACCATTAATAACATGGTTGAAAACAAAAAAGGAGCAGAAGAATGCTGGCAG